TGAAGTTGCAATGGGCATCGCAATTGAAGTTGAAACTGCGCTTGCTGGTGGGAAGCAGGACCACACAGCATGCCGGTGTTGTGGCGCGCAGCACTCAGCCCAAGCTGTTGACCCTGGCACTCACCGGATCGGCACTGTGCCTGTGCCGTGAGTGATCTCATGGAAAAAGAGCATGGACGATGATGATGCGTGTAGCTGCCTTCGGCGACCCCTGCGTTTCGAATCCGGAGGGCACCGCAATGTGATGTCTCAACATGAACGTGCACGCTGCCAGCTCTGTGACGTTCACTTTCACTCTCCTCCTGAGCTGAGCTGTTACCGCTGCTTCACACCCTCAATCCGCAAGGCCTTGGGAGCACGCCAGATCTTGCACCAGTCGTTTCGAAGCAGCCGTGCCACCTGCCCAGCTGTGAAAGGGAAGGGTGCCACAGGAACCGTAGTTTCTGGGTGCCAGCCAGCGAGGGCCTGCTACGAAGAGCCTCAGATCGTGGATGGTGAGATGGCTGCATCTAGGTGATCCCACATTGCTCCGAGCCGGAGCCTATCACAGACGGAACCGCGGTCAGGGGATTGCGGGGCAAAGCTCGGGTCAGTGTAAGATGTAGCAAAGGGCATATGGCTTGCCATAGGGGTTTCTTTACGTCCGAGCCTTGAGCTCGCAGTGAAGCTCTTGTAATTCTCTTGTACGTCTCCGTTGCAGATCCAGCGATTTCCGGCGTGCAGCACTGCACAGCAGCGCCCAGCGCAGGGTGCTCTGGGAGTCAGCATACTCACAACACCCTTTGTGTCCAGAAAACAGGGCAGGGACTCGTCCTTGTGTGCTGCGGGGCCGGCCGCGAGGCACGTCTGCTTGCAGAAACAAGATGTCGGTTGGTGAAACCACCAGAGGTCACATGGCTTACTTCCCCTGTTTCCCTGGCGTGTGACACCCAAATCAGTGCTCTGCTCGCCCTCCGTCGTTGTGTGCTCCACCCCTTGCATGGGCAGCGCCAGAGCCATGAAGCACGCGGGAAGCTCAAGGAGCACGAAGGGTCTTCGGCTTCATGACCTTGTAAGAGGCATGCTCGGCTTCAGGCACCCATCCTGGATTCTGACTACGCTGCCAGAGGGAAACTGCCCCGTCGCTGCGAGCACACCCATTGTTACGCAAAGATGCCACGTGTACCCGCGCGGAAAATCCGAAAACGCTCTTCCCACATGCATGGAGCGGATCTGTGTGGCTTCCTCCTGGCATCCAGGTAAGCAGGCGCGGATGCTTAAAGCTTGAACTCATCAAGCTGGGCAAGACGTGCCCTGATGAATGCGGGTTTGAAGCGCGTCTTGGAAAGCCTTGCACATCTTTGTCGGCCAGGCAGACAGAATTTGAAGGGCTTTGTGCACCGCAGTGAGTCGGTCCTGTGTGCTGAGGATGGACAGACGTCGAAGACAGAATCGACGGGCGCGGCGCCATTTCAGGTGCAGCAGCAGTCCAGCCACATGCGCCCGCCGTCACGTAGGGCAGTGTGTGGGTTGGTCTTGGATGGTCAAGGCCCTGAGGGTTGTGCTTTTGGGTGAGAGTGAATCCGAAACCTGCATCTCCGCCGTTCTCAGCACACTTCTTGCAACTCGGAATCCTCGAAAAGGCCACAAGAGGACAACGTAAGGTCAAGAGGTGCTGCAAGGTGAGTCGGTGCCCCAGGCGCGGCAATCTCACAAAGGTTTCCCCACGCACCGCGGTCACCTGTGTGAAGCTTGTGCCCGGCCGGGCGGCGCCCAAGTTATACATTCATACTTGCACCACGGACGGCGTTCCGTCAAGAAGCCTCTGCTTGACCAACGGCAGAAGTATGGCTTCGACGTCACAGCTCCACCCCAGCTGCGATGCTGGATTGTCTGCTAGAGCGGGTCTCCAACTCAGCCGGCAGATATGTCAGTGCTTGGCTGCCGGGTGAGTCTTGCTTTGCAGTTCAGCCACCCAGTCGGCTGAAACGAGTGGCTGATAGATTTAGATTTAGAGGTCTTGTGCAGCGCTGGAGTGTGCTTTTTTTGGTGACCCACGAGGTTTGGTTAGTGCGGCCATCCAAGGCCAAGGTTGTGATGTGTGCTGCGTGCAGTCGCCACATGCGTGGTCCTTATGCTGTTACTTTCGCTTGGTCCTTGCGCAGCCGCAGCAGCCAGAGATAAGAACGGCAAGCGCATGCCATTCGTTCCCAGGAAGTGCCAGAGCACCTGGTTCCAGACGACTTCTACTTGCAAATGTGCTAAAGCCACCTTGCTACCTGCATAGATCTGCCTGGAACGAGCTCTCTCTTCTATTCCCGTCGCGTTTTTAAGCGCCCTGGGCAGCAACACCCTCACGTTCACGTGCGATGCGATGCAACCGCAGTGTCTCCATGTCTTTCCGGCAGAGGCCATAGACCAGGAGAGCCCCTAATCAACCCTAATTTATTGCTTCCTGTGCTGCTCCCAAGGTGCTCTAGCCCACTGCCTTTACGGAACATGTGCGAGCTTTGCCGCCCTTGCACTCTGCGCACCCGCCAGTTTTCAAAGTCGGGACCACCTCAGCAGCCACCCATGTTGAGCCTACACGGGATGATTGGATTTGGGGTGCGCGCTCGACTGGCTGCAGGATGGCGAACGGGCCCAACGGGCCCAACGTCACGCAGTCCCCGCCTCGCTGGATCGAGGATAGCCTCTTAGCCTCCACACACCTGCTGTGTGCTGCGGGTGGGCATGATGCGTCTGTTGAACTCGTGGAAGACTGGCCCTGACATCTTGCCTGGGTGCTCATGAGGTTCCCTTCCAGAGAACATGCCCTGCTGTTTTGCACAACCTGAACCGAGTGCGTGGACAACCAGAACTGAGTGCGACTGACTGAGACATGTTCAGGGCCATTCGGCCAGGTTTCGGCTAACTCGGCGCACTTTGGAGGCTCTCCGGCCTCACTTCAGGCTCTCCAGCTCCTCTTGGCGTTTCCGCTGGGCTGCTTGAACTTCAACTGCCTCTGCAGCTTTGCAGGAAGTATCAAAAAACCTACAGGATCAACTCGGCCCTGGCCGCACTGGCCAGCTTTGCAGGCCTCGAGCGTATTTTGAACCCTCTTTTGAAGCGGAGATCCTTGAAGCCTTGAAACTCTCCTTCGTCCGCCACAACGACGCCCCGCTTGCAGAGTGGACGCACAGTTCAGCAAGGCCTGGGCCAACAGCTCGAGTACACTCACGGCTTCACTGCGCTGTTGTAACGTGCAGATGGTGCTTGGAGAATGGGAGCACCTGCCCAGTGACCAGTGAGCGGGTGAATGTCAAGAGGATCTTGAGGCCTGTCTCAGCACCCAAAAAGGGGGGTATAGCAGTATAGCCCGAACACCATGGGGCACGTGGAATGTGGAGCCACTTCTACAAAGTCTCTTGGGCGATAGGGCACACAGTCCCAGAGTCCCAGAGGCTGCAAGCAGCAACGTGCGGCAACTACGGAAGCAACCTTGCTTCACGTCGCTTCTCAACGATGGAAAAGGCATTCGGCGCTTCCTGGATGATGCGTCAATCAACGTCCATAAGCTGTAAGACTGAGAAGTATCGCAGTATAGCAGCCTCGAGGTATGTCAAGGCGTTTGCAGACCCTGTGCTGTTTATGCGCAGGTACTGCTTCGAAGTTAGGGAAGGGCCTGAATTCTGCCCTAGTTGCATGTAGCTATCATGTAGCTGAAACACCCACAAAGAGAACCACCGGAGTGGCAGTTCGACAAATAAATAGTACATCTTTTGCAATGAAACATAGCTTGAGTCGATACCTCCAAAAAGCCTCTTGCATGTTTGTTGCCGATGGGGCTGTGTTTTACTTGATTCCTGCGGATATTGGACGCATGGCTTGTCTTATGATGTGTAGCTCATGTGGGTTCAGAAGTTGTTTTTCGGCGCACCTCTCAATGATGGCCAATGCAGGAGCGCAAGCACTAGGGTGAGATGGGACTAGGGCGAATGTCCGACGTGCTTGCAAGACAATGCGATAAGAAGTTGCCTGAGACTTGCGCTCTAGTTGCCGTCACAGTACGTAGAGCTGCTATGAGTTGCTACAGTTGCAACTTAAGTGGCCGCAGCTCCTTGCCTCCTTGCTCATGGTGGAGACGTCCGGCCAAGTGAGGGACGATGCCGAGGCCGGAGCCTTACTTTCAACTGGTCTTCAACCCAAGGGCCGTACCTAGGGATCCTGTCATGCAGTGTCCTGAGATTCCTCAGATTCTGTCTGAGGCATTGCTTCAAAAAGAGCTCCAGGCCATCGATGCCCGCACCAGCCTCAGAATTCCCAAGCGCTTCCACGCGCTTCTCGCTTCTGTTCGGCGCTCCTTGCAGGGCTGGCGTCACTGCGCGTGACACCAGGCTCGGTAACGGATTGAAGTGCGCAGTTGGAAGCCGCAACACTGCTGCTGCTTTGCAAATCTTTGCAACATTCTTGGAGCATGTTTTGGTCGGAGAGGTGCCGGAGCTGCAAGCCAGAGCCAGGCCAGGCTGGGGATTGCAAACAAGAAGAATCGTGGGACATATTGGATTATGTGGGTAGTTGTTATGCTTGCATTCGTAGCCCACCAGCTGTGACCTCTCTCCGCGATCGTTCCATTTCTTGTGCTCCCTTCGCTCGAAAAAGAGCGCTAAATGTACGTGAAGATTTAACGGTGCCAAGATGGAGCAATGAAGCGCAAGTGGCGGGTTGCATCGCAAGGCCAGGAAAGGCTTCAGCCCTTCTCCCAGGCTCAGGCCGATGTGGTCTTCTGGGAGTAGCTGGCTTTCTTTCTTGCCTTGTGACATCGTAGCCAGACAAACTCGTTGCATTTGCTGGCTTTGCATGCAAGCTTCCCGGCTTGAGCTTTAGCTGAAAGTCCGATACACCTTCAAATGTACTCCGTTTACACATGAAAGACAGGTAAGAGGAAACGCGCTAGAACGGTTGATGCAAGCTCAGATCTCTGACCCTGCCGAATTGCATGCGAAATTGCACAATTACTCCGCAGTAGCAGCGCAACTGCAATGACTTCAAAATGGCTGGCCTTGCCGATGCTTTTTCAGACGTCACTGGGAAAAGATTGCTGGAGCCCGCCCGAGACGTTGGCCGCGCCGAAGCTAAACCAAAGCCACAGCGAGTGGCTGGCTGAGCTGAAATCCTGGCGCCACAACCACTCGCAGGGATACAATGCCGAGGCATACAGAGACCCATCACTGACTTGGACAAGGACATCTTTTGTCCAACCACAGATCCACCTGTACGACCTTTTTCTCTTCAATGGTTCCTGGACGGTGGATAGGTACTTGGATGATTTGGATCATCGCTACGGTGGGATCGACTCGGTGCTCATCTGGCCGACGTACACAAACATCGGAATTGATGAGAGGAATCAGTTCGACTACTTTCGAGCGGTGCCCGGTGGACTCGCAGCCTTGTCAAATCTCACGGAAGCCTTCCACAAGCGGAACGTGAAGGTTCTGTGGGCGTACAACCCCTGGGATCAGGCCACCAGGGAGGAGGGCCAGCACTGGGATGTCATGGCCTCCCTCCTGAAAGCCAGTGGAGGCCAGGGGAAAAAATAGGGGGAGCTACAGCTAGTGTGTTCAGAATAAGGAGAAGGAAGAAATGGCGGCACGTCCAACTATTGATTGCCCCTAGCTGTGCACAGGTGATGGCTTCAACGGGGATACCATGAAAACCATCCCCAAGGCTTTCTGGCAGGCTGGCCAAGCACGGAGTTACTCCTTTGCGGCAGAGCCAGAGGGGGGAGGCATCCCTTGCAACGACGATGACTATTCGAGTGCAGGCCAGATTGATGCCCAACAATGCCTTTTTGCGCAGACAGGAGTGCTAGAAATCGGTTGCGCGGCTGCGCGATGCCAGATTCTGAGAAGGATGGACACCCCTCGGCTGGGGCTACTTCGGCCACAAGAGGGCGGACGGCATGACCATGGACTACGACTTCGAGCCCGGCCACTGGGATCACGAGGGGGGGGTCATTCAGTTGAAAATGAACAGGAATCAAAGGGGCTCTTCAGATCCATCATTCAGAAACTTGGGACCGACTCAGTTGGCATGCCCCCATTCTGCATAAAGAGAAGCTTCAGGTGTTGACAAGATGAAGTGGCTGGACCCGAAGGGAAGGCATCTGACACATGTGTGCGATCGATGGTCCAAAAGCCGTGCCGCAGCCATCCAGCTGGCCTTTTTCAACGGAGATGGCTACGAGTCATGGGCATGTTGGCTGCAGATAGATGAATTCCTGTGGAGCACTCTGCTCACCAGCATACTAGCAGTTACTAGCATGATTGCCCAGAGCCTAAGGAAAACATTTGGGGTCTCTTCAACAAGGTGACGGACAGGGACGCCGAGCTCCTCCGTCGAAGTGCCACCCTGCTGCGTTGGGCGGGCCAACGGCCGCTCTGCGAAAAAGAGCACCGGAAGCGTTCCACGGACTCCACGGTGTCGAGAGGCTTCATGTTCTCGGGGGCCCAAGGAACTTGAGCCATGACTTTGACAACTGGATCCCGCACGCGCCTGAGGCCGCCTGCTAGTGATTGGGGGTAGGGGGGAGGGGGGGGGCCGGGGGAGGGGGCATTTTGGCAATTGGACAGTTGATACAGTTGCCTTTGCTTGCACGTGCGATGGCGAGATCTCCTGTCAGGCCACAGATGCGCTGCATGGCATTTTCGCCTCCCGCTTCGAGAAGGATGGCGAAGCCTTGTGGCTCCTCATCAACAAGGGCAACCGTTCAGAGATCACCGTCGCAGACTTATTGCAGATCCCGCTGTGCCTCCAAGGAGGTAGCAAGTGAAGAGACTTGAAGGGGGGCTGAGGTGCACGTACCCGCGACCTACCTTGGTAAAGGCTACGAGCTCTTCGATCTCTACCATGGCCTCAGGGACCAGCACTCAGCCAGAGCTATCAGCTCATGACATGGCCCACGACATGTCCATGATTATGCATGAATATCCACATGTCAAGATGTTGCCTACTGAAGGTCAGCCCTAACGGCGGCACCTTGGGTGAAAAAGAAGTTGACAAATGGCAACTTGCCGTGCCGTTTTTGAAATCGTTCAATCATCCTTCAATCATCCCACGCCCTTTGCTGAGGCGTGGTAAACGCAAGCATCGAAGCCATCGGAATCTCTGCTCTCTTCGCAACAACTCGCGGAGCCCCGCAGCCACTCGGGCCGCAAGCCTTTTTTGGCGCCTCTTCGCCGGTTAAGGCCTTCCCAGACTTAGCGCATGACCTTGAACAGGGAGCTGCTGGAGAAGATGAGGGTCATGTCCAAGCATCCCCTCGTGACTTTGCGGGGAATGGCCATCGCAAACAGGGGAGGGGAAAAAGAGAGATGTAGCGCAGGACTGGCAAGCATACTAGCCAGCATCTCAGAGCACTTGCCGAGGGTTCAGGGTTTGTTTCCAGTGATTCGGGGCCAGAGCAGCTGAGTTAGATCCACACAACACTACCCAGCCTCCGTCACAATAACCGGCCTTCAGTATCACAGCTGGCAGCCAAAGCGACTTAACCACCCAACCGGGGATCGGTCTGGGAGAAGAAGGAAAAAAAGGTGAGGGAGAGAGAGCACGACCAGAAGAAGAAGAGCACGACCTGTCTTCACTTGTTTTTCATTAGTGGGGGGATCCCCCGGCACCTACCAGTTCTCCAGAATCAACGTCTCTCCGTGTTTTTGCACTTATGTTGTGTCACCAAACCGAGTTCGACGGACGATGGGCACGCTTTGCGCGAGGGGGCTTCCGGGGTGGGTCCAAATTTGTGGGCGGGGACAGAAATTCTTCCTGCAGAAGCAGAAGAAGAAGAGGCAGACAGAGACGAGACGGAGCCAAACAGGGGTGCACGCAGCGCAGCGGGAATTCTCAGACCCTTCCCAAGGCCATGTTTTCTGAGACCTGGCACGTTCTGCAGCAGGAGATGGACGCGAGGCGACTTGAGTTTTTGCATGTTGTTGCTCTTAACTGGGCGCGCGCGTTTGTACGTTTGAGGCCATCGTCCAAAGTCTTCAATGCCTCAAGTCCACCACCGGAGATGGTGTTGCAACTCGACAGTAACATAGTAACACATGGGGTGAGGCCGGCGAGGCAGGCTCTGCTTGTGAACACACAGTGCCGCTGCATTGGCTTGGGCTCGGGGTGGCAGTTCCAAAGTTTCTGGAGCCGGCTCTCCATATGCAAGAAGCCGAAACTTGCTTAGCATACCTTCAGAGGTCGCACGTGCAGACTTGACATCGTAGTACAGCGCAGCAGACGCATCAGATGCCAATGGCAAGCAGGAGCCTCCTGCGCCAGAGGTGGCAAAGACACCTGGTCGCTCTCGCATTTCTCCTGGGTGCAGTCTGTGCACCTGGTGGAACCTTTGCTCTCGGGGGCCCGGCGGTCGGACGCCCGGCGGTTGGTCTCCGTTCCCGTCATTTACCCGAGTTTGCAAGAGCTTCCCGTCCTCGCACGGCTCACACAGCGCGGCCCTCGCTGGTCGCAGGCCAGAAACGAAGGGCGAAGCAGCGTATGGACCTTTGCAAAGCATTCTGCTAGAGCTTCGAGTTTCCGAGAGCAGTAGGGGGAAGTCCAGCACTAGCGGGAGCGCTCTGCAAAGCTCCAAGCTCCCTGCCAGGTACGCAGCTGTTGCTTCCCGTGGCTGCCTCCGTTCTGGGATTCCTCGGATTCGAAGCAGCCCGACAGCTCAATGACGGTGCGGCATTGAAAGATTTAATCCAGAAGTACACAAACGTCATCGTGGTCGATTGCCCAGATGGGGTGCCGTCAGATGCACCAGCAGATGGGGTGTACTGGTACGTCAAGGATCCTGATGTTTATCGGCGCGTCCTGGTGCAGGGCGATCTAGGTTTGGGAGAGAGTTACATGGATGGACAGTGGGACTCGAACGATGTGGAAGCCTTCGTCCGCGAAATGATCAAGCTCGAGCCGGTGAAGAAGGATCTGGGCCTAGCCGGGCTTCCCTTGTTGGCCAGCGCAGTGGTTGGCACGCTGTCTTGGCTGCTTTTCCCTGGGAATTCTCCCACAGGGGCAAAGGAAAACATTGCCAGGCACTACGACATCTCGCTGAAGCTCTATGAGCAGATGCTGGGACCAACAATGCAGTCCCTTGGATGATTTCTGGGCGTCGCCATTGAAGGTGGAGCATGCTTTAATATGGAAGACACGTTCTCAATATAGGCCATCAAAAGAAGGTGAGAGTGAGAGTGAAAAGGGGCAAGCAAGGGCCCCCTGAAAAAGGCAAAGGCTTTTTCATGTGGCAGCATCTGGCAGAACCCTCTGCTGCCTCTTCAGGTATTCGGGGGCATACTACCACAAGCCCGGCATGAGCCTCGAGGAGGCACAGCTCGCCAAGATGAGGCTCGTGGCAGAAAAGCTGGACCTGAAGCCCGGCATGAAGGTTTTGGAGCTCGGGTGCGGCTTCGGTGCTTTGGCCGACCTTATTGCCACGGAGTATGGTGTAGAGGTCACCGGAGTGACTCTCTCAGAAGATCAGTATGCATATGCGAAGGAGCACTTTCAGAACCCTGCCGTGGACATTCGCCTGCAGGATTACCGAAGCATGACCGGGCAGTTTGACCGAATCTACTCCGTCGGCATTTTTGAACATATAGGCCGCAACTGCTACGAGACCTACTTCGACAAGTGCTACGAGCTTCTCAAGGACAATGGCATTATGGTGATACATAGCATTGGCTTTGCCCGGCGAGGGGAGTGGAACCACGGTGGATGGATGAACAAGTACATCTTCCCCGGGGCCGAACTTCCAACCATGTCCCTTGGCCTCCTTTGAACCCATGTAGACGTAGCCGTGCAACCCTTGTGTTCTCTCATTTAAAAAGGCACAAGGTGTTGCAACGCCCTCCTTGTTGACCATGCCCAGGTCACATTTCACACAGGAGTTCAACGACCGGTGGCACATGGAAGATTGGCAGAGCTTCGGTGTGAGCTACCTTGTAGTAAGCTTTGAGCTTTGGTGTGAGCTACCTTGTAGTAAGCTTTGAGCTTTGGTGTGAGCTACCTTGTAGTAAGCTTTGAGCTTTGGTGTGAGCTACCTTGTAGTAAGCTTTCACATGCCTGGAGCGACTGTTGGCAGATCTCTCAGAGGGTAGAACGCGTAGGTTCCCTTTGCCGCCCCTGTTAGTGGGGTGCCAAAGAGCGGCCTTTACCATGGAGGCGCAAGCAGCAGAGGCCGAAGCGGCACAGGCCGCCTCGGCCGCAGAGACTACTCAGTCCCCAGAGCCCCTGACGACGCAGATGATCGATTTACACCCTGATTCTTTCGACTGCGGGCCGGCTCCGAGAACCCCACCAGCCAAAAGGCGCTGGACGGACGACTCCCAGGAGCAGGAGATCCTGACACCGCCAGGGCTGAAACGACTCTCGCGGAGCAGTCAGCGCAGTTGGCACCTTTCGAAGCTGGCAAAGCTTTCGTCACCAGTTGCCAAGGCATCCACAAGTACAGCAGCCGCCAGCACAGCAGTTGCTGGCAACGTCCTAGACGTGGAGATGCTTTGCAGTACATCAGATGCCCAGTCAACCACCGTCCAGTTCCAGGAGTTCCCAGAAGACATCTTGCAGTACAGGCTGTTGAACCCAGCATCCTGTCATGAAACTCGCGCAGCAAAAGCGTGCCTCGAGACTGCCTAATGCAAAGCCCTAGGCGGCAAGCCCTCAACCCAAAATCTCATTCCAGACCGTCAAACTCCCAAAGCCCTGAATCCTCCCACCCAAACTCAAGTGCAAGGAGCTTCGGACTTAGCTACGCCAAGACTCTGCGCGAGTGGAAGAATCGGCTCGACAGTTGGAATGGGCTCGAGGAGTTTGAGGTGCGCTTCCGCCGGATGTGGGACCCCTGTCTGCAGACCGAGACTCGTTTTTTTAGGTCTTCCGGCGCCGAGTGGGGCATGTAACTTGTGACTTGTAGCCATAGGCTATTCCGTACGCAAGCGGAAGCCAGGAGTACTACTTGCTTTGTTGCGCTGCCTCTTTCGAAGCACGCCGAACGAAGCTTTGGCAGACACTTGCACGACGAAGCAGCTCTTTTTCTTCGAAGGTTTAGTATTCCAATGGCCACCGTAAAATTCGCTTAAGAATCGGAAACAAGACCGCGAGTGAATGGCATGTTGGCATTGATTTAGTCTGTCTTGCACCTTCTCCGTGTCCTGATAATATTCAAACAACAGGTGAGCGCATGAACACCATTACATGAACCAAATCATGCGAATTTATTTGTGTAAAACAGCTTGAACCCAAGTCTGTCCAAGTGAGGATTGTTTACACAAAGATGCCAGCTGCCACGCAGAGGGAGGATGACTGCCACCACATCCGGCAGCCACTGATCTCCAGCCGGCCAAAGTCTGCCAGCCGATGGAACACCGAGATCAGCTGAATCAGCCTAGGAGGGGGGGGCGGCTCAAGATGGGGAGGGAGGGCTCTCTTGTTGCCTTCGGCTTTCTGATCAAGTTTAGACCGGTCAGCCTATCCACTTCCAGCCCCAAAGCGCGGAAGGAAAAATGGGCTTTGGCATCTTGTGCGCTTGGAGTTTTGCCTTGAGTGGCCTAAACGTCTGGAGATTGATCTACATCACGAGCCATGTTTGGGTCTCCATTGTAGTACTGGTATCTTCCTTGCAGCTGTAGGAACCGACATAGCCCATAACCCTGGATCAACCTTCTACAAAGGGGAGAGCCGTGATGCAAGCGATCGTCCTTTGCACTCTGCATGAAGTGGTCTCCAGCTGAGGTTGCCCCGCGTGAACTTCAACTTTGCCGTTAGCGGGACAGAGTTTGAGGGTGGCTGTGATCCGACCGACGATCCGAACCAAGTGTGCCACAGCCTTAGCATCTGGCTCTGAAGGCAACGTCGCTGCGTCTGCCGTCCAGCTTCAACTTAGATTCTGTCCCAGAGGTTGCACATCCGCCTGTCGGGAACATGGAGGTCCAGGCTGCCAGTGCGGCGTTATGCAGCTGGAGTATTTTGGACATCTACTCAGTCCGACTGTTCAAAAGCGCCATGCCAGTAAGCAGGGTGAAATTGGGTGAATCCTCCGACCTGAGGAGTCGACGTACAGTATCCTTGGGAAACCCGACCTGATCGGAATCACAAGAAGGAGCTTGATCTAGGGCCACTGCTTTTTGATCGCGATTTGGCCGCCTTCTTAGTCTGGACCGCAACACGGGCCCCTGTCTCAAACTGTGGAAAAGAATGCAGCAGCACAGGTCACCAATTCCGATTACCTGCAGTATCTGAATGCAAGCGGAAGCTTGACGGAGAAATGGCCCTACAAGGCAATCACTGCTTGCAGCAGTAGAAACGACAAGCGTGTGTGAGGATATCATCCTGCGGACAAGTTCAACTTCCTGAAGCATTGGGACATGGGCCGTCCAAAACCAGGCTTCCAGCATGTCAGTCGCAGTAGTAGCAGCAGCAGCAGGAGTAGCAGAAGCAGCAGCAGTACTCGCAGCAGAAGCAGGAGTACTAGTGGTAGTGCTAGTATTAGTGGTGGTGGTCGTCGTCGTCGTAGTAATCGTAGTAGAAATGAGCAGTAGGAGTAGGGATGGTAGCAATTAGTAGACCACCACAGTACTACAGATACATGTATAAAGCTGCTTTTGGGGAGGAGTGCTTTGCTCCAACTTTACTCTCTACTTCTTCGAGATTCTAGTCACAGTCTTCTGTGCATACATCTTGCTTGCTGCAAGAGTTGGAGCATCAGCAGGCGACGAGCAGAAGCCAGCTGTGAACATTGGGTTCCAGGAAGCGGAGGCCTACTGCCGTTACTATGGAAAGAGGCTGCCCCACAGCTCCCTGGCGATTGGCATCTGACTGTAATAAACATGTCAGAATCAGGCCCGAAGCTCAAGAGCAAAATTGAACGAAGCTGCGGCGGGAAGCCCACAGCAAAAGATTTTTTTCAAAAGCGAAGGGATATAACATCTTTCGCGAGGAAATTGCAGCTTTGCGAATTACAAACCATTGCAAGCAGACTTCAGCGAGAACATGCGGGGAACGATGCTAATTGTAAACGCTTGCGCGCGCCGGCCGGCCAGGAAAGGAGGAAAGAGGGTTTCTGCAAAAAAAGGGGAGGAAGGGTCCAGGTCCGGGGGTCGTAGGGAGGTTAAAGGGGTTAAGGGCGTTTGAGGTCCACACAAGGGATGGGGGGGGGGGCCCAACCTCTGCTCCTCACTCACCTCAGCACGCGGAAAATGTTCCAGCGATCGCCTGAGTCCCGGACCCTTTAAGAACCCTGCAACAAGTCTGAGCCTAGAATAAGTAAGGGGCCAGCGTCCCTAAGCGGTCCCTATTCCTCGTAATGCAGAGTTTTTTTTGGGGTTTAAGGGTAGGTTCCTGGGGTCCTGGACGAATCCCAAAATGCTCGAGGAGGTCCCAAGGAAGCCTGTCAGTGGTCCCCTGGAAAACCGCAGTCCCGAAAAAGTCCAGGAACCGGGGTCCTGGAGCTCGGAAGCCCAAGAACGACATTTGCAAACCTCAATGCGGAACCTGGGCCCTCAACCGTTTTTGGACCCCAGCTTGACTATGGCCATGCGCCTTAGTTAAATTACACGTTGCATGAAAATGGTTTGTTGGCTTGCCGTTGAAGGCTTGATTCAGAGTCAGTGTCTGGACTCATGTGCCTGTGCATGTCTTGAATGTTCTGCCTTGCTTTCAGTGCGTTGTACCGGTTTGTAGCTTGTGCTGGCTCCATGAGGCTATGAGTGGCAACTAGCAGCTCAGGGGCAAGATGGGAGGAGGTATCCTTGGGGCCATGACTGGGATCCTTCTGCTGTCCCACCTCCGGGCCGAGGGCCAAGGAAGCTGAGAAACGACTCTTCACACATTTGAGAGGGTGCCAAAAGGGTGCCAAAGGGTACCATGATGTGCTAAGCACTGCAGGTCATGACCCTGTCGCCATCGCGCAGTATGAGAAGGGTGCCTCTGTCTTTGGCGTCCGCGATCTAGTTGGGAACGTGTGGCAATACACGGACTCCTTTCGGGATGAGCACACCAGGGCAGTTCTGCTGCGTGGGTCAAGCCGCTACAACCCGCAAGTATCCGAAGCGTTCCCCTCCCTGCACCAGTCCGTGAATTGGTGCCTCGGCTGATCATGTATCCGATTTCGAGAGCAGTTTTCAAGGAAGTGTGAACACGTGCTCAGGTATTTCCCTCCAGCACATGAGTGGCGATCTCAGAGAGTGTAGTAATTACCCTGGACAAGGGTTCCTGCGTGTTCCCGTGCAAGCGGCGTTTACCTGCATGATGCATCATCATGTCGAGGCTCAACAAGCACTCAAAATACTTCCTCATGAGCAGCTCGGCCACAGACAGGGAGCTTCTGTAAGACATGTAGCCATGCCATGCGCGATCAGCATTGGCCCAATTCGCCCCCCCCAGGCAACAGCTACGAGCGTGCTGGGACTCTGGGTTTTCGATGTGTTGCAGATGTGGCCAATGGTGCGGCCGCTCCATACCATTACCACAATCACCACAGCACAGACGACTATGCAGACCGCCCGGAGGTCCAATTCATTTAAGCGCCGATCTCATCAGAGATTCTCCTACCCGGTCAGAGCAGAGCACCCGGCAAATGCCACGACGTGGTGCCATGTACATATTGTACCAATACTTCTCTGCGTCTCGCCATCCCTGGAAAAAGTTGACAGCTTGGCAAGATGTGTTCGGTCCCTTACACGCCAGAGGTCTCAGGAAGCAGCCAATGGCCAAATCCTGAGTAGTTTTTTCGTGAAGTGCTTGGCACTCTGCGCGCACATTCTCGGTCCTGGAGAGAAGCCAACCCTGAGGAGCGGAGGCCGCGAAGCCCATGAACGCGGCCAAGGCGCCAGTGCGGCCTTAGCGCTTTAGCACTTGCAAAGTTCCACTCAGGCAAGGCAACGGAGGAATGTAGCTTAACGGGCTTACTGCAGCTCATCAATGTAGCAGTATTAAGGAACCTTGAACCCATGTTGCTTGCAGGCAAAGGCTGGGTCACGGACTCGGACATCTCGTTTGTCAAAGCTTGACTCCTCTGGAAGTTGCTGAGATCGCCAGCTGCCGCAAAGTCTGCAAGGCTCGATGGCTCCACCCCAAAGCTAAAGCAATGCATCTGTGAACATGGTCGAATAACAGTTTGACTTGAGTTCGGAGTAGATTCTTAATACATGTTGCGAGGAAAGCGTGGGTTCCAGCCGCCCCAAAGGCCTTTGCAGATTGCAGAAGACGAGAAGTCACGACGGCAAGGTTTGCGCACTTTGCACTGGACAGGTCGTCGATCGCGGGCCTGAGCCAAAGCAAGCCAGCCTCGCAGAAGGCCTTGATAGTTGCTGCCCCAAATATCTTCCTCAACACAGATCACTGAGCTAATGTGAACCCTCCTGTTTAAACGGGACCCCGGACCTTAAACGGGATTAATGTTGGACCTGCTGTAGTGGGGGCCCCCTCTATGAAGTCATTTTGGCTGGGCTATTCAGGACACCCTGACTGTTTGGGGGTGCGCGGTGGGATCCTGAATTAAGTCAAAGCGACCGGGCGCTGTAAGAAAACTCCACGCGTCGCGCCTTCAAAATTAATTTCCGGGCATCGCTGCCCCTTTTGAAGCCCGCCCGATTAACATCATATACACCCCCGGGACCGTGTAAACAGGGACAAGCACGGCTTCGACTGTTCTTGGGGGCAAGAGGCGGGGCTTTGAAATCCAAGGCTCCAGTTTACAAATGCTGGGCCTGAAATCAAGAAGCCAAGAATTGAAAGGTATTCAGCGCCCGTGCACCGCCCTCTGAAAGGGTGAGATCCTTTTAGAAGATTTCGGGTTTCGTGGGCTCAGGTTCAAAGCTTGGTGAAAAACAAGCCGACGACCCTTAGAAAGAAAATCAATCCCCCCCCAAAACAGCTTGTCTCTATAGAGGAGCCCACTGCACTTCTCCGAACAATCCCACAGAGGGGCCAATACCAAAGCGGCCGCATCACTACAGCGGGTGGCAGGACGCGCCCGCTGGCAGCGCATCACGAAGCGACTCGAAGAGGAAAAGTTGCAGACAGCAGAGCAGTCCAAGGCCACTGGAGGGTCTTCAGACTGCAGCCACACAAGCTGAGCAGAACGTAGAGCCTTTTCGGCATGCAGCAATATGTGAGGGATTCTGAGGAGGGCTCTTGGGCGTGCGACTGCAGGCTGCGGCCAAAGCAAAGCCAAAACCCAAAGCCTCACGTGCGGGGTCCGCATCCGCGCGGCCAGTGTCTCAATGACGTCTCCAATGTCTCAGGTTTGCGCTTTCTTCTTGGCATGCTCGGCTCCTTCATTCTCTTGGCCATTCTCTTGGTGCGCGTCTTGCCTTCGAGGCTCAGCACGGGCCGCAGCTCGCCCGAAGCTGCGTCGCAGGCGCTCCGGGCGTGAACAGCAGAAATGACGCCCCTATAGGCCATGGACTCTGATTCGGCGCCAGGTGGCGAAGCCCATCGGAGCGTATGTTGGTCCGGAGCACACCGTGCCCCTCGGCTCGGCTTGTGCTGCCTCGTGGCTTGAAGAGAGTGAAGAGAATATGAAGAGAGGCTACCACTCAAGCACATCGCTTCAGCACTCGCTATCGCACAAGGTCGGTCAGCTTGGAAGCAGCTGCTCCGGACTTGCTAGAGGCGGCAGAAACCGGTGTCCTGAGTCTGGTGCTGCTGGTGTTCACTTCATGCATGCTTGAGTTTGACCGTGTTGGCGCTATTGGGTTTCTTGAAATGTTCTCAACTGACTTACATACTTGATTTAATGTGATTTATATCCCCATGAAGCTGAGTATCTGAAGCCCAAGTCAGGGGGCACAGCTCCACCATCGGCTTGCAGGTGGACTTCTCGAAAGTGCTTTTCTCTGTCCAGGCATCCTCTTACCTGCCGCCCTGAACCCAGAGTGTCAGGCAGCCCGCCCCCTACCCAAAACCCCTAAACCCTAAACCTTTCTTCATACGTATCTCCAAGAGACGTGAGCCCACAGTCGAAGGATTGAGTTGCTTGATCCGAAACCCAACTTAAAGTGACCTATCCGGAAGCAGATCATCACTTGGCATTTCCGGGGGAGGGACGGTTACTGCAGCGTTCTGAGGCCAGCCATAGAGCTCCCGCCGGCCGATACGGTCCGGAGGAAGTTCGCCGCAGCGGCCGAAATGGCCTCAGTTTGTGACAGTTTGTGCCTCGGAGGCCTCGGGTTCCAGAAAGAAGCTGAGTGTGTGCGCGTGTGTGTTTTTTTCGCTTTGCTTTGGAGGCCGTCATCTTGGTGCATCTTGGGTGTTTTGACAGCTGAGGAGCGGGTGGTTCCTGTCCCCGTTGGTGCAAGCGAGGCTCCTTCCCCGCCACAGCTGCACAGCAGGCAGCGCATGGACTGTCCATGTGGCCATGCTACAGCGAGAGGTCAGGGGAGCTGCGCAACAAGCGCAACCTTCCAGGCAGACGGTGACGCATTCCCCCGATAATTCAGTGAATTTCCTGGCCGATGCGCGCAACAAATGCATTGTAAGAGTGTGGTGGAGTAGCAATGCTGGAACCAGCCGGACAGAATCAAAGGTCCCTTCATAAAAGCTCCAGCGCTTGGTGCACAGGTCACTGCTCGATCTCTCGGCACCAAGCTGACAGGTCTGGCCTCATCACAGTACTAGTAAGAGCTTAGAAAGGGAGACACCATGCACCATGCACGACTGTTCCAGAAGTGTGCTGTGGATTGTGTAGGGATTGTGGATGGTGATAGTGCGAGGCTTTCGGCTTCCATGTTCTCCCGAGCCGAAATGACGGACTTACAAGTACGGCCCCGAAACAGTGGCCGGAAACCTGTAGCTCACGGCTTGCAGCCACAAAGCTTGGCACAAGGCGAGCTCGAGCATCATGAGTGCAACCTGCACAGGCTGCTGCTCAAAGTAATCTCGCGAGCGCCGTAAGATCACAAAGCTACTGCACCGAGCGTCTCTGCTTTAATTAGGTTAGCCGTGGAGCCGAGCAGTATTCTGCCATTTCTGAAATCCCGTTCGGAAAACCCCCGCAAGCCTAAGCTTTACTGTTTAGCGTACACGTCACTTGATGACTGCATAAGCTCAATGCCGAACGCGAAGCGTGCAAACTTGTCACAAGTCGCAAAGCAACTTCTTTTCCGGCTGCACAATGAACAACCACCTTTACAGCTGCGCAGCGATACAGCCAACCTCGTGATAAGTTGAGCACCGCTCGTAGAATTGCTCTGGTTCGGCACAATGTCATCATTTTCTGGAGTGCCCCCTTCAATGGTCATTAAACAAATATCAGTCGTCATGAAATTCGACATCCCATCACTACTTAGAAACAGCGTTCAACCCCCATCCATTCTCTCGCAACGGTCAAGTATGGGGATATTTCCCGGCATTTGCGGTATGTGGTGGCAAGAGATTCAGGAACAAGGACGGTCAGGCATCAGCATTGGATTTGAATTTGCTTCTGAGCTGGTGCCATGGCACCCAAACGCGGAAAGGCGGCAGACAAAGCAAGTGAGGACACGTCGGCTACAGCCATCCATGAAGTCTTGCACAAGTCAGTGGGTTGGCAGTGGGCTGTGCGAGGACTATGACTCTATGACCTTGGCTGCACTCAAGACGAAGGCCCAGGAGCTGGGAGTCGTCCAAAGTGGCACCAAGAAGGACAGCGCCCAGCGAGTCTCAGCCACTGAGATACATGGCGGCTTGAGGATTGCAACCCACTCAATGCGCACCAGCCAGCAGTTCATGGCTAGACATGCAGGATCTCATCGAGCGCCTGCGCGCTGTTGCTCAACCTAAGACACCCGGGCTGCATCTGGATGTGAATCAGTGAAGCCCTTGACGCTCTCTTCCCGTGAAGCCCATTAATGATTCAATGGACCGGCTAGCCCCAGGAAGCGTGCCGCTCCTGCTCCGCCAGCAGAGGAGAAGGCGCCCAAGCGAGGCCACTTGGGGCGGGGGACTGGAGCAAGGAAGCCATGCTTCGTGGTGGTGTGCCAGCCATGCCCAAATATTCTTGGGCGATGTGCCAGATATGATGCGTCACGCGATGCAAATGTAGAGATGCAGTCATACATGCCGCGGCTTGATTCATCGCAGGGAAGGCTGAGTCCGGGCCCGTCGAAAAGGCCACGTGCAGCAGAGCGGGGTCAATGAAGAATTCCCCTTGTTGAAAAAAGCGCTCAGAGCTAGAGAGTTAGGGGTGCAGCGAGCACTGGAGGCGGAGCCCAAGGGCAAGGCCAAGGCGAAGGCCAAGAGCCGGGGCAAGGCAGCTGAGGAGACCGGTATCGTTATTGCGTCGCGTCCATGCTGAAGCGCTTATGCCTGACAATATCCAGCTTTCGTCTCATGAGTCGACGCAGAGGGCAACCCTGATTGCACATCGCATTTGTGTGCCCCGAAGTGAGGGCATCTGCCGAGGAGGAGCCACCGAGCCCCAAGGCCAAGGCCAAGGCCAAAAGCCGCCCCTCCAAAGATGAGGAGACGCTGGCTTTGTTTGATTGCTCTGCTCAGAAGTCCCCACATTGGTGGAGCTTGGGCAAAGAACCTGGAAAGAGTACCCTTTGCTCAGGAGCCACCGAGCCCGAGCAAAGCAAAGGCCAAAGCCAAGGCCAAGGCCGGTGTCAAGATTTCATGCGAACAGCAATGTGTTTTGATTCTCGGTTTCTTGGGATGCGCGCGCAGTGACGACGTAGCAGTGCAGAGTGGAGATCAACGAAGAACGATGTAAATATCATGGCCCAGAATTGAAGTAGTTTGCTAGAGGCCAACCCGACGGCCAGCCAAGACGATCCTTCTATGGGCCCAAGCCTAGATGCCGAAGCCTTGGCCAGAGACCAAAGCATTAGCTGCGACATTTCTGCATTTGGCTTAAAGGCCTAAAGATGATACCTCTGGGCATTCATGGGGGGCATTCGGATTGTTTTGCCAAAAGCTGCAACGCAAAAAATAAGCAAACCAGAGCATCTCGAAACTCAGGACATTACGCCAGCAGAAGGTGAGATCTTCTATGAAGACGGGACTTGGAGCGCTGTCCTCGATGAGGGAAGGCATCACAGTGGAGCTCTTCCTACAAACAACTACTTGGGAAGCATCACAAGAGGACGAATCGCAATGTGATGTTCTTGGGTGTTGTGTATCAGCACTTCCTTCCGTACACTTTCCCGTCGTTCCAAGGCGTGGAGAACGCAAAGTCTGCGCGCTCAACGTGCAAAATCTGCAAGGATAAAATTGCAGCACAGTGCCTGAGGCCAGGGACCAAGCGGAAACACATTGGATATTGCTTGACTTGCGACTGTGCTTGCAGGATTGGAAAGACGGTGAAGTCTGACACGTTCGATGGCAACATGACGATGTGGTATCATGCAGGTTGCCTCTTGCATCTCGGTTAAAAAGTCGGATCTGTTGCGATTTGGTTCGGCCTCCGCATCCGCGCTGCCTCCGATTCATTCGGAGTCTGTCCTCGCACTTTCTGTAACAGAGGTCTCCTACTAGAAAACCACGCGTTCCCTCTCCACAAAACTAGCACAATTCCTGAGTCACATGCAACTTGCTTCACGGTTTCGAGGGAAGGCATGAGCACTCTCCCCTCTCTCCGCTCTCTCCCCCCTTTATCCTTTCTCCCCTCTCTCCCCTCTCTCCCCTCTCTCCCCTCTCCCCTCTCTCCCCTCTCCCCTCTCTCTCTCTCCCTCTCTCTCCCTCTCTCTCCCTCTCGCTCTCTCGCTCTCTCTCTCTCTCTCTCTCTCGACCCTCTATCTTTTGTCTTCTCTCTCTGTCTCCTTCTTTGTTCTCTCTATTCTATCTTCTCTCTCTCTGTTATCTTTCTTTTTTTTGTCTGTTCTCTCTCTCTCTCTCTCTCTCTCCCTCTCTCTCTCTCTCTGTTCTCTTCTCTCTCTTCTCTCTTTGTTCTCTTTTCCTCTCTCGCTCTCTCTCTCTCTCTCTCTCGCTCTCTCTCCCTCTGTCTCTCTCTTTCTCTCTCCGGATCTGGTGGTCTTCCGCTTTTGCAGGGAAGAAAGAGTTGACACACCTACACGTACATGGTCTTTCATGTAGCCTACGCAGAAGGATTCCAGCGGCGAATGTACCTTCGGACCACCCCTGCAGAAGTGCCCATGAAAAAGCGGTTCCATCAGGTCGGGAAACATCCTGCCAAGCTCAGTAACGATCATCTCGGGATTTTCGAGCCTGCGGCCGGAGGAGCAGAAGGACATACGAATGACAGTCCCAATGCTGCATGGGCTTAAGTCTTAAGTCAGTGTAGCAATGGGCTGCCAGGCCATCGCCAAGTTCGTCCCCAAAGGGGAGGGTGCAGGAGCCACTGACTCCAAGCTGCGACCTGGCGGCAGAAGCCTGCAGAAGCGATGTATAACTATGTCGCGCCGCGTCTCGTGAGCAAAGCCCAGGGCCCAGCAAGGCAAGAAGCTCCACGAAATCTTGGATAAGCTGAATCAGTCAAGGCCTGAGTCGATCCGTTTCGATAGAAGAGATTCGAGAGTGGATCAGCCCACAGTGACTACAGCAACACTTCCTATGATCGTTCAAATGTGCGTCTACCTGCAGCTCAGGATGGCGCCGAAGCAGATTGCCGAGATGGCTGCAGTCTGGTCATCACTTCAGTTTGACACCCTTTGACTTTTTGCAGCTCCCTTTTTAAGATTTCTATACTTTTTTAAGAGTCGAGAAGAGCAAACGCGACGCGCGGGTCGGTTCGACTTGAGTGTAAGCCAAGGCATTGAACAACTATCCCGTGCAGAAGCTACATGTAAGCAGCAGCTTGCATGCATGCTGATGAATCCTGAGCTCGCATGACGAGCTGGGATTGCTCGAGGCAGGAGAGGGAGCCAACCTCCCCTAAGCCCGAAACTCCCCCCCCTCCACAACCCCCAAACCGTTGGCCCAAACCTCAACACCTATCAATCGATGCTCTGAAATCCTCCAAACATTCAAACCCTCCCTAAAGATCTGAAAAGCCTGGAAAAGGTTAGAGGAGTTCGGCCTCAACTTAGGCACCTTGGCACAGCTGTGTGCTGATGGCATCATGTTCGGTGCCACGCAGCCGTGCGAGGTTTGCAAGGACCGGTGGTTTCTCGTGTTTTCGCCAAATTTCGGCTTCCGGAGCAGGCATTGGCCCATTCGTGGGATGACCTTCAACAGCATTTCTCATTCCAAAGCGTCAGGACCATGGAAGGCCCGGTCCCATTCTGCTGGATGGAGAGGTGTACAAATGCGCCTTGAATTGACAGCCATCAATGTCAATCTCAAATTCTGCGAATTTCCTGAACACGTTGAGCACGTGGTTCACGCACACCATGAGGCTGCGGTCGAGTTTTGTCACACTAGGCATTGGCTGGGTATCGGACCACCTGAAGTGTGACTTCCAGACGCTTGGATTTGATGGCTCCCCCCGAGACTGGGAAGCTGTGGGTCACACTCCCTGTGCAACGCCCTAAACGCTAAACCGCCTAAAACCCCCTAAACCCCTGAACCCTAAAGCCCACATGAAAAGGATTTCTCTGCACAGGACCCAGACGCCGGAACGCGAAGTGTGGAAGCTGACGCCAGCGGCCAAACAGCAGCCCGGTCATTGTCAGCCAAACTTAAGAGGTTCGAAATCACTTTGAAAAACCTGAGCTCACTATAAAACCCTACCCCCCCCAGACCCAAAAACGTCCTTAAACCCTAAGAGTTCTGTTCCAAGGGAGATGGAACCGCAAGGAACGGGCCGTCCGCGCATCAGCTTGCGATCCGAGGTCGCTCGGGAACATGAAGTGCAAGGTGCGGGGGGGGGGGGGGGGGGATTCTCCAAAAATGGACACTCAGAGTATAAATAAGCCCGCGACCCATCTGAACTCATCTAGTCCCTAAATGAGCATGGCAGCTCTGGGGCTCTGCAGGTGGGGATCCGAAAGTTTGCCACGAAGATGTCCGAGGATGGCACACTGCCATCGCAGCCACTCGGGCATTAGAACCTGGTCACCTGGTGGCTTCCTCGTGATGCCTGTGTCAACTTCAAAGCTGCTGAACGATCTAACCAACACGCCGTAAAACCACAACATCCGCAAAACCACATTCTACGTATGTGGCTTGGAGCTGCAACTTGATCTTCAAAGGTCGCAGGCCTCGAGCTCATCGCAAGCGAGGCCGCCTTTGCTGAACTTGACGGTCTACTTGGCCAAGGCACGCGCAGTCCGCTGTCGTGAGAGTCGCTTTGTAGACATTGTCCTTTTGATGGAGCTCGTGTGCGTTTGGTGTCAAAGGGCTTCTCAGACGACAAGAAGAACGAGCTCGAAGAACCAGGGCCGCATGAGATCATTCAGACTGATGCAGGCATGCACTGAGTCTAATTCAGTGTCCCCGCAACCTGATGGCCACGAGGAGCTTGTCAAGTCCCACATGGGCAAAGTCTGCAAAACCATCACGAAGGCAGTCAAGCGCTGTCTGGCTGTGGAGCCTTCGCATGCTCCAGCTGCCTCTATTACCAGTGCAGAAGTTGCACGGTTGCGTCAAGTTTAGTGTTTCAGAGCAGACTGGAGGCAACATGCTTTGTTGTCTCCTCCGAAGAGCTCATTGAAGAAGACCCGGAGGAGGTGCAGGCGGCCTCAAGCACCGGGTTTCTGACATGTCAAACCTTTAGTTATCGTGCTTTTGCATGCTGCAAGAACAGCAGCGGCCGAATGTACCAACCAGTTTCTCGACAATGTGCATGAACGGGCTTCGCAGCTTTCTGGCTCAAGCTTCCTCAACCAAGTTCACGCCACACTAGCCTCCCAGCTGCGCTGGTATTGCCATATGATCCCCACAGAGAGCGCACTTACAGAGGCTAGCCACATTGCGCGACTCGCGTCCAAGCCTGCGATGCTGCTGTGCTAAGGGCGTTTGCAGTTTCGTTTTGTGGTCGGAGATCCCTGTCCGCGTTGCCATGCTCAAAGCGAGGCAGAGTGCTTCAAGCCCCCAGGTCTTCAAGTTCATCAGAGATGCAAAGGGCCAGCAGTACTGCACGTAATTGGAGTTTTGTCCGCTGACCTGCATGCAAGCCCTGCATGCTCGCGTTCATATAACTATACTCTTGGTGCCTGGCCTTGGTCAACGGCGGGTGCAGTCGTTGCAAAGATCCAGTTGCAACATATGCATACTCTTCAGGTGAGTCCGTCTCACCTGGAGCGTCCAATGCGATGCCTCATTTGTCTGATCAAAGACTCATCGGCTAAGCAAGAAGTACGCATCTGACAGGCACGCAGTCGTGAGCAATCGTTTCTCAGAGATTGCCTGTCAGAACTCTCGGTTCGAAGTGATTCGAAGCCTCTGATGGAATGTGAGGCTGCGAAGACGGAAGGTGTACCAGGTGTCGATGAGTTCTTCCTCTATAAGCTGGAGGCCAGGCTTTTGGGGAGTGGCGAAGCATCTGAAGAGTGAATCCCCACACGAGGCTGGGACCACGACCAACATGGCTCCGCCGACCTGCCACAACTTGACGAAGATTTTGCTTGGGTTTAGGGGCAAGGCTGCTAGTCTGCTGACCAGTTTTCCGGCCAGTCAGATCAAGGGCCCTCCTGGACGTCGTTGCAGCCGGCTTCGCGAGTGTAATGCGGTTTTGTATGCTTGCCAACCCACAACACGAAATCGGTTTAGTTAGGAGTTTGCATTGTGGTTGAAGGTGCTGCATTTGGTTGAAGCGAAATTTTCATTGTTCATCTCTTGAAACAAAAATGAATAAACGCGGCACCTCATCCGAACAAGTGCGACCTGCAGAGAAATTGCTTTGCGGTTGTTGCTCACATGTTCTTTCTCTTCCCTGCATCACTGTGAGCTCCGCTGCAGGAATCTCCTTTGGGGTGAGGCGCCCCGAATGTCTCGGTCTTAAACTTCACAGCAAAAGGGGAACTGTCGGGCTGAGTCGGGATCCGCGAATCCGTGAGGTTCAGAGCAATCGAAGAGACAGGCACTGCGAAAACAGCTTCAGCCCAAGACAGGCGTCTTCTAAAGCAACGCCTGTTGTCCAGAATCTTGCTGCGATTTGCCTTTAGGTTGAAAAGGAAGGCGTTGCCATGGATGTGGACATTGGAGAGTTGATGGAGAGGACCCACGTGCTGGTCGACAGGCTGCGCCAAACTAGCAGCAGAGCAGTCAACACAGAATTCAGCAGAGCATGCAGCAAAGCATTCATCAGCATTCAAGGGCTCTGCGAGTGAGGCACGCATGTGGCAGGTCCAAGAATCGTGTATACAGCGAGACTTTGAGCCAGACCGACCTGACTTCGGGCACAAACAGCTTCTACAAGCCCGGAGCCACAGTGATCGTGATGGTCACTTGCTGTCGACCTGAGCATAGCTCATGTTGCTGCGCATGCTGACCCTAGGCGAGCAAACGACTGTACCCCCATGTCAAGTTGGAGATGGTACCATTTGTTAACTCTCTACGAGTCTACCTACCTGGTACACGGAACAGATGGTGTGGTTCTGGTAACCTGCGCCATCTCACCGTTTCTTCCCCAAGCCCTTATCAATAAATGCGGGTGGTGATGGGGGAATGTGGGGGGGACCGGCTACATGAGTCAGATAAGATTCTGAAATGTGGAATTCAACTGCCCGTGCTAGGCTTTATCTGCTCGAATCTGACAAGGACCGACTAAAGCAGTTACATGGCATCGGGGTCGGCCAAGCAGGTGACTTGAACAGGCACATCTACGCTTTGCGGGCAGTCCAATCTCATGTGGGCCGCGAGGACTCGGGCAGCAGCTGCTACTGGGTCTGGCGAAAGTGGGGTCGTATAGGCGGGAACACAACGGATCACTGGATGCTAGCAGACTGAGCTAGTGACATGACGGTTTAGACATGTGCATGTCCTCCTGCGACTCTAACTCACATGTCACGAGGTGTCAATGTGGGTGGCACAAAACTTGAGGAGCCTGAACCCCAGGAACATCGCAGCTGCGCACTCCTTCGACTCCTGTGTGTCTCTTAAAAGGTGGAAGACCGACAAGGAGGCGGCCATCAGGTCCTTCGGCAAGTGGTACCTTGAGCAGGGCTCAGCTCTCACATCTCCTCACATGCACTTTCGTTTGAGTCGGAAGTTCCCATTAGGACAAGACCGGCAACACGTATGGGCACAAGCCTGGCGAGTTCGTGTCGCTCGGTGAAATTCAATGACATGTTGAGATGCGCGATGCGGGACGGTTCTGAGACTTGTAGAGCCTTCACATGCCCCACATGACCGTGAGTCAGCGGAGATGACAGGCAGAAGCCCGGCAAGTTCAGCCGGGTGGATGTGGCACACAAGGCCACAGCAGCCGCTGCGCCTCCGCCTTTGTATGGAATGCAGCCGCTGCTGGCAAAGGCTCTGCAGAAGAAGAAGGCGAAGACGGACAACGAGGACCCACTTCTGCCAGCCAGCTTTACCTCTTGGGGCCCCCATGAAGAGCTCTTCCTGCCCTGAATGGTACGGGTACCAGGAGCCTGATCCATCGCAAGAGGAGCCTCAGGAGAGGGTTGTTGCATTTTCCTGTCCTTCTGTTTCCAGTTCACAGGTCCTCTACTAGTAGTACAGGCTGCGAGTAGTTTGTCGGCTCCCAAGGATGGCCAGCCGCTAGGTCAGCTATCCAAGGCCGCTGGCAAGTCTTGGCAAGTCTGCTCCACACGATGGCACATGTCATTGCGGTACGCTCCGGTGGACCACAGCTCCCTCTTGCTTTGCCAGGCAGCCGTCGAGAAGGGAAACGCCGTCCTGGCCGCGGGCTGTGACACAATTGCGTTCCTTGACAGAATTTGGCAAGACCGGACCTCATTCCAGACGTCCACCTGAGGACACTATCGAGTCTGTCCTGTCAGGGGTTGCAGAAGGCCTCCTGCTTCAGTGCAGCACAAGCACTGACAATCACTGTGATGCTTGAAGCCTTCGGCTTTGATGCCAGGATGTCTTATTTGCAAAAGCATGCCGCGCTGCTTTATAAGTACACGAGTAAAGAGGGGCGCCTCTTGTGTTCCATCCTCCCCACTGGCAAACTATTGGGAAGGCGTGAAGATTTAATAGGGTTCCTTCCTTTCCGTCACCGGCGAACCTTTGAATGGAAGGCTGAAAATTGCTTCCGAAGAGCTTGCAGAGCTGTTTGACAGTCCTTGCCTCTAAGCCTTTAAGACTAAACCGGAACCGTTAGCCACAGCTTGGCTTAAACCGCAAACCCAACCCTAAACGTGCCAATATATCTTTGAAGGCTCATCAGTTCAACTAGAGTCCTGGTGATCTCACACTGAACCCTGCGCCGCGTTTTTGCGCTGTAGGTGCCTCGCTGTCCGCGGTGCAGCGAGCCACCGTGAAAAAGTCATCCGCAGAGTTGGGGCCCAAAACGAGACGCTGCTTCGGGCTTGTGGGATTGAGGGGCGATAAAGAGTTTAGGGTTCAGGGGTGCCATTGTTCCCGTCGTTCAGGGAGCACTGCTGCAGGTTCTACGCTCTCATTCCACACAACTTCGGCATCAAGGCACCTCCCCCCATCGACACGCAGGAGTGGATGGGAGTGAATGGGAGCATTTTGGACAACTTGGCAGGGGCGCGAGGGGGTCGTTTAGTGAGTAAAGAGTTTAGTGAAGCTTCTTGGTCATTCTGCCGCGTGCCGTGTGGCTACAGAAGCAGGACTTGCTGGGTGCCGAGCGAGCCCTTCTTCAGTTCTACCTTCGCTCCAGCCTTAGACGTTGAGGAGAAGGCTAGTGCCGTGAGACGTGCTGAAACTATTTGACTGGTTCGGAGTGTAAGGCATGGGCTTTGAGGAGATTGGCGGAGGAGAAGATGAGGATCGCTGCTAGCCGTGCTTCTGTCTGCTTCTGCTCCAAGAGCCAGGGCCTGCCCAAGCTTCTCTTCACTTAGGAGAAGCTCACCCCCATCTCTGGAGTCATGGAGCTCGCGCTGCCGAGCACCTTGAAAGCGGGCTGCAAGGGCATCTGCAAGCAGCAGGCGCGCGGCTGTCTCCAGGACACCGTGGTCTAATGTGACATCTCCGTTTCCAGGATGTGGACAGCTGCACAAAGAAAGGCAAGATTCTGCAGGCTGGAACTTCGGCTGTCATGAAAGTCAGATATCGAGAGGTGAACAGAAACGTGGTCCTGGGGAAAGCTGTTGGACTGCCACTGTGGCAAGTGCTAGTCGTTTCTTAACACGAACACGAGGATGTGTGACGTACCAAACCTCTTCACAAGTGATGGTGACAGTAGGACACATGCATGCCACTCTTCTGTTCTAGGGCGTCTGAGTCACATGTCTCAGTGGTATCATGGTATCTGAGCAGCACTCGCAGTGTCGTGGTCATGGTCGTCGTGGTGGTCGTCGTCGTCGTCATCATCGTCGTCGTCGCCGCACTCTTCATTTCGCACGGTGCAGGGTGCACTCTTTCCAATCACATGGTGTGCGCAAAGCTCACCCTGTGACCCACAAAGAGTTTCTCACAAATCTGTAAGCGCTCCACGAAGTCAGGAGTCCCCCACAAAGTGCTCCCCCCCCCCCCCTCCAGTCCCATAGAAGGCCCGTTGGAGAAAGATACAATGACATGAGCGCTCAACAAAGCCGTCTTGGTAGTGGCAGTGGTAGTGGTCATGGCCGTGGTCGTCAGCATCAGTGTCACTGTCATCTCTGATTAGTATCTGCGTCGTTGTCGTCTAAAGGAATGAGAACACTTCGGTTTTACCGTCAATGTTGGACGGTCACCTGTTTTGTGTTGATGGGGCATCTCTAGCAGAATTAAGTCATGACTCTCTAGTGAAGCAGCTGCCGGCGGAATAGCTTGGGCTTCCATCTTACGTCCCGCCTCGGTGCAGACCAAGAAAGCGGGCAAACCACTGAAGCCCATGGACCAGGAACTATACGGGGCCATTCTGCCTGTACCCGAGTTGCTCACTTGGTATCGCTTAAGAATGCGTGTGCATACACTTGTGTAAGGCGGAGGAGGTATGTGTTTAGGTTTAGACGACACGTAAACGAATGTATACTTGTCTTCAGGATGTATACCGGCAATGCCATCTACCAGGCCCTGAACAAGGCTGGGTTTTTTGGCGGGGCTGTGTTTACATGCTTTGCTACTGCCCTACCGAGACTATTCAAAGCCTGTGCTCTGTCTGAAAAGGCGCTGCGGGACGAAGATCGAGACAAGGCCAATGCTCATAGTTATAGTTGGCTTTGGGCTCGCAAGCTGCGCTGCGATAAATACCCTGAGCCCCCAACCCGATCAAGGCAACCCCCGAAGCGCGACTCAGCCAGGTCGGCTCCTACTTTCCATACTTGCGCATGCTCTTTGAGGCCTGCGCCAGGCACGCTCCGAATGAAGCATCATAACACGTCCTTTTCGAGACGACGTTTCTTGGTCCGTTTTGCCTTATCAGACGGTGCATGGAAGCTGTTTTCTCTGCCTGCGCCAAGTCATTGAGAGGCTGCCCGTTCGGCAAGTTACGCTTTGGCGTGGGGTTGGCGTTGACCTCTTCGACCAGTACAAGGCTTGCAGCAACCTATGGCTGTAAACTGGCCAAGAACTGCTTAGTGCTGAAGGTGGGTAGCACCATCACATGGTGGGGCGTGTCAAGCTGCACTTCGAACGAGAAGGTGGGGGTGCTTTAGGCAAAAGCAGAGCTGTGAGTTTCTAAGCAGTTCTACAAACACTCATGTGCCTGTGCAGCTCGCTGTATGGCTGATTCCAGGTTGCCAAGAACTTTGCAAGTGGTTGCGCAGGTCCGCCAGCCACTTAGATGCCAGCTGCCCTGGCTCGCTGACAGCGGCATCTGACAAGCTGCCAATGCCGGCGTGTACCGAGATGAGCTTGTGTTAAATTCACTATACACAGCAAGAATCAGGACTTTCAACATGTGCTACTTGCCTCATGAAAGCACAGATGCATACGGTCGATTCAGGAAAGGTACCCAAACCTATCCGCCCAGATACTCTAGTGCGCGTGACCTGGCGCATCAGATTCTACTCAGGTCAACACTGCTCACGGTGGAAACCAAGACAGCGTGCGAGATTTCTGAGGCTTGCACATGGCACCTTCACTGATGATGTCCTCACAGCTTTCAGTGCTCCCAAGATCCTCCCCAAGATGTGTCCAAGTGCGCAGTTGAGCTTCTACTCCAACGAAGCGGAGAGCATCCTGCTTCCTGGCACTCAACTCAAGGCCTGTCTCCCGAAGTCCTGAAAGGAGAAGAACTGGCGTGGAGTAGTTTTCCTGTGGAAAACCGGTTCCTGCTTCGCTAGGTCCTCAGCTCTAAAAAGGTCGGCAAGACCGCAGGGCGCCAAGCGAGCTGTTTGTGTCAAGTCTGCACCATCCGCTGGCCTTAGACCTCAGACCCTAGACCACAGGCCCACATCCGCCTCCAGGAGGCTGGCGCGCACTCAACTCCCTAAGTTGTTCTGTGTGGCTCATGGTCCCTCTGTATCCCAGAAGCCCCCCAAGAGACCTGGGAAGGGACCACGGATGTACTCGTATCTGTTCGGGAAGCTTTCGACATCCTCGTGGCGTTCTAGCATGTAAAGCGCTTTCATGATATGAGCGCAAAGAACTTAAAGAGTCGCGCATTTGATTCTACAAGTTCTTCCGAGTTCTATGCAGTCATCTGCACTGCATCAGGTTTGGGCTTGCTTTCCCATATCTACAGGGGTCGCACACGACCAGGATAAACTCGGAGGCTCAGGCCCCTAAATTCAGTCGCTTAGATGTTTTATCCTGAGGCACGTGGGGCTGCGCCTGCAGGATTTTATCCTGCACATGGTGGTTTGCCAATCCAAAGTCATATTGCTGAACATGTCGCTCGGAGGGTCAAGCCTTCAGGATTCTATCCCAGTCGTGTGTCCCACCTTTTGTTCGAGTGCGATGATTCGCCAGGGCTCAAGCCCAATGATTTTCATCGCTGCAATGGGGTCAGGCCCCAGGACTTGATCCAGATAACTTCCCTGGGCCTGACCCTTCCATGCATGTCCATCCTCTGTCATATCTGCAACATATCTTACATTTCATCAGACCCTGAGTTTTGCGGTCTTTTGGTACTGCGCACGGTTTTGTGACATTTTGGGACATTCTTGGATCGTTGTTTGTGCTGAAGCTTCCGATGCATGAAACCACCGCAAACATTCCGCTGCACGGGCCCAGTTGTGCAGCGCCTGGAATAACTCGCTTGCAGCAGTATCTTCGGGGCATGCACACTGCAGGATGCACACTGCAGGGAAGCAGTCAGCACTCTGCGGGGGTCTTGAGGGGTTCGCAGGGTTGCAGGTCTTGGCAGCCTGTAACACGGCTATACACAGCTTGGACGGTAAAGGAGCTCGTGCGGGCCTTGCGCAAGCTCGCGCGAGCCTCGCGCGGAGCATTGCTTCAACATGCTTTCCAACGCTGCAATGGTCATAAAACCATCCCCAATCCACCTTCCCAAGCCCATGTGCCCTTGCAGTTTCGCTTCCAAACCGCTTGCATATGCTGCTTTAAGGCTTCTCAACCCACTGTGCACAGCTCCTTCGTAAAGGGCGCCAACAAGCACAAAAGCCATGTGCCCCTGCGGTTTCTTTGTTGTTGGGCTGACAGTACACCGCCTGGGGTGACTTCCTTCATCTGCCTTCCTGTGCTGTGTGCCGCAGGGGTTGGGCTGATTTTACGCCGGGTGGGTCAAGATAAACCCTCTGCTCCTAGCCTTTTAAGCCAAAAGACATCACTAATTCGGCTCGCAAAATTAAAGGCCAGTTGAATGAGTTGAACGACATGATGATAGTGGCCGGCCGTGCAAACAATATCGGTGTTGTTCAACTCTATGGTCCCGGCCATTTAGAAGTTTATTTGTGAAGTACGGTTGACCTTCAGTTATGTTAATTAAGCTTCTTAATAAGCACTTTACATTTGTAACTTGCGGGTAGTCGGTTCACATACAATCTATGTATGTATCCATATTTTGCTGTTGTATTCTGTACTTCACCATAAAGGCATAACATCAATATTGCGATAAGATAGCTGGAAGATTCTCAAAAAGGACGCTGTTCATAAGCCAACCATCTGTTTATAAGCATCCCCTCTCGTTGAAAAACCCAAGCAGGCCTTACGAAGGCCCCTTCCGTAAGAAGATCAGTGGAACATATTCCTGGAGTTTTTTTGAGGGTACAGGAAGAGGGCCCGTAGCTCAGATCAACCTGGGCAGGTCGGCCGGGCGGTGGGATGAGGCCCATCTGAGGCTTGTTTGGGCACGGCTCACCTGGGAGAGCAGTGGCCTTGTGACGTCTTGTGGTCCAAGTGTTTAACCAGCTCTTGTTTCTTTGATTTTGGGCGCAGAGTGCCACTTCTGATGTGGGAGAAGACACTTCAGGGGAGCAGAGCGCGAGGTATCAGAAGTGTCGCAGACTTGCGCCTCGTGCGGTGCTTAGGTGCTTCTAGGCTAGCCTCGCCTTGCCTGCGGGAAGCTGCAGGCAAGAAACGTTCGTAGAGTAAGGGATGAACAAACGAGTCATGAAGCTGTAGACTCAAGATGATGTTCATCCCTTCTGAAGTGTTGTTGCCTCAAAGGCCGATTCCTGTCGGTTTTTAATATCTACAGCATCGCGGCTGAGGCAGCGCATCCAAAGAAGAAATGTTTGGGGGCAAGTCGTCTTGGCTCGAGGGGCCAAAGGTTTTCAACTATACAAACACGAAACTTGCATTTTCGCGCGGTAGAGGACCTCGATATGCACGACTCACATGAAATCTGTTCACCCCCAATATGTGCAAGCGGCCTGCAGGATCTCCTAAGATGCCTTGAAAAAGCAAGTGAAAGCAGTGAAAGGTGTTGGGCACTCTGCACTCTGCGCAGCTGGAGCGCGGGACTGTAAGATGTCCCTCACATCCTTGCGGCCCAGCCTGCAGTGCAAGTCATACCGAAAGACCCAACTCGGAATCCCCTAGACATCCGACACCGAAACAAGCCATCAGGGAGCTTTCTGAAAGCGTGACAGAAGGGCATGTTGAGACAGTGCAAGGACTAGGCCAACTTAGGCTTCACGAGCGGGCAACATGGTGGAAACTTGAAGCTGGAATCTGGAACCGATCCCACAAGGGCAGCAGGATTCTCACTGATATCGGGCAGTCCTTCAAGCGCTTTATTGGTGCCCGTAAAATCTGCCTGAGCCCAAGGGTCCAAGTATTCAAATAGTAGAGAATTTG